TAGCTATGAAAATCCCAGTGGCATCTTCTTCAATAGAGGGCTGTTTTCTCTACCTTGAAAATCTGTGTAGGGTAGCCTCTTTCATCAGTGCTCTTGGCTAGATCTGGATAACTTGCTGCAGCTTCTACATCAGTACTTGCTCCTTCAGCTTGCACTTTCATGTTATGGAGACTGTTTCATTCAAACTTTGCTTCTGCAGCTTCTGCAGCTCTCTCGTTTGGCTTGAGGGACTGTTGTGGCTGGTTTGATCTTCTATCCAGAGCACTAAAACTTTCACCATATTATCAGTAAGGTCTTTCTTTTTCTTATCATTCATGTGTTAGCTGGAGTAGCACTTTCAATTTCCTTCACAAACTTCTCCTTTGCATTCACAGCTTGGCCAACTTTGGCACAAGTAGCCTGGCTTTCAGCATACCTCAACTTCTGACATGCCTTCCACACTAAACGTAATCATTTCTAGCTATAACATTAAAGTGGAAAAAAGTGCAGCTCTTCATTTGTAGTGTTATTTATTGGCCTGACTTCAATATTGTTGTGTCTCAGAGACCAGGGAGGCTCAAGGTGGTGGAGAGAGACAGGGAAATGGGTTGATGGAGCAGTTAGAACACATGCAACAGTCATCAATTAAGTTGCCATTTTATATGAGTGCAATATATGGCACCCCAAAACACCTACAATAGTAACATCAAAGACCACTGAACACAGATCACCATAACACAGTAATAATTTGTAAGTTTCAAATATTGCAAGAATTACCAAAATTAATCAAAATTTGTTAGTTTTAAATATTGCAAAATTGACATGGAGAGAACAAATAAGCACATGCTGTTGGAAGAAATGTTGCTGAGAGGCTTGCTGCAAACCTTCAATTTGTAAAAAGCAAAATGAAGAACCCACAATATATGCAATATGCAATAAAACAAGGTATGCCTGTATTGTGGACTTTTTTTTAAGAACCCATAGTCTTCTACCATTCTGATTATTCAGAATTTAGCGAAATGATAAAGTCTGGATCTTTGTCTTCCCTGGCTCTCTTTTCTTTCCCTATGACAACGTATTAGGAGTCATAATGGTTAACAGGTACATTAAGGAGGAGAAGGAGGAGGGGAAAAAGGAAGAAGAAACTAAACATACCAGAGAAAATGTCCTTCTTATCTCAACCAAATAATATGTGCCTTTTAAGGTACACTAGAATCAGTGTCTTATGAGCGCTCATCTAAAGCTAGTCACCTCCCAAGAGCCCCATCCATTGTCATCACACTGAAGGTAGGGTTTCAACATAGGAGTTGGGAAGGAAGGGAGACACAGTTCAATCCATAGCAAGTATAAGAAGAATCTCAGGATTTATTATGAAAGGGGCTGGTTTCATATTGTGTTAATTTTTTCATAATTTTTTTTTATTTAAGGTAATATTGATAGCCTCAGTTTTACAGTCAGATTTCCAGGGATTTGTTTTCATTTGGCTTTGTCTGACCCTGTTTTGTTTCTCTGTATTCCACCTATGAGCAGAAACCAACCAGTAGCTGTCTTTCTCTGTCCCGTTTATTTTGCTTAGCACAATCCCCTCCAGTTCTACCCATTTGTTGTAAATGGAAGATTTCACCTTTTTTAAATAGCTGTATTGTGTTCCATTATGTATCTATACCACATTTTCTTAATCCACCCATCTGTCCTTGGGCACTTAGGTTGTTTCCATAACATGGTTATTGTTAACAGGGCTACAGTGAACATATATGTCCAAGAGTGCATATAGCCCTTTGAATTAGTGTTTTTACATTCTTCAGGTAGATGCCTAGGAGTGGAATTACTGGGTCATACGGTAGAACTATTTTAAATATTTTAAGAAATCTCCATACTGTTTTCCATAGAGACTAGACCAGTCTACATTCCCGCCAACATTGGTTGAGGGCTTCTTTTTTTATCCTTATCCTTACTAACTTGTTATTTATGGAGTTTTTGATATGGGCTGTTCTCACAGGTGTAAGATGGGTCTGATTTGCATTTCCCTGATGATAAATGGTGATAAGCAGTTTTTCATGTAGCTGTAGGCTGCCATCTGCCATGTCTTCAGACAAGTGTATTTAAGTCCTCTCCCATTTTTTTGATTGAGTTATTTCTTTTTGTTGAACTGTATGAGTTGCTTTTATTTTTTTTAAGATTTATTTATTTATGCATACAAGAGCTGGGGTACAGGCCAGAGATACAGGGGGTGAGAGGATTCACCAGAGACAGTGGGGAATAGAACAGGCAGATTGACTGAAGTACACTGCTGAGGTGAGCAGCGGGTGAGTCAGGAGAGGTCTGCTGCGCCATGTGGGTTGCTCCCTGGCCGGCCGGGGATCGAACTCATGCTGCAGAGGCTGTGGATTGCTTCATAGTATGGTGCTTAACCCCTTGCGCCACCAGGGAGGCCCTGTTTTGTTTTTTTTAAATCTTGGAACTTTAGCCCCTTGTCAGAGAGGTATGTGCAAATATTTTCTTCCATTAAGTAGGATGTCTTTTTATTTTAATAATAGCTTCTTTTGCTTTGCAGCAACTTTTTAGTTTGATGTAGTCCCAGTTTATCTTTGCTTCTGTTTCTTGCCATTCAAGTCAAGTCCCCAAATACATCAAGATCCATGTCATGGAATGTTTTACCTATGTTTTCTATGTATTATGCTTTCAGGTCTTAACATCCAGGTCTTTAATCCATTTTGAGTTCATTTTTGTATATAGTGTGAGATAGTGATCTAGTTTTTCTTTTGCATGTGGCTGTCCATTTTCCCCATACCATCTGCTGAAAAGACTTTCCTTTCTTGAGTGTCTACTCGTAGCTCCTTTGTCATACGTTAGCTATCCGTATAGCTGTGAGTTTATTTCTGGACTCTCAAATCTATTCCGTTGGTCTGTGTGTCTGTTTTTATTCCAATATCATTCTGTTTGGATTACTATAAGTTTGACATCTGGGAGTGTGACATCTCTACTCTTCCTGTTTTTGTAATGATTACCGTGGCAACTCAGGGTCTTTTGTGATTCCATATAAATTTTGGTAATGTTTGTTCTGTTTCTTTGACAATGCCATTGAAGCTTGGACAGGATTTGCATTGAATCTGTACACTACTTTGGGTAAAATGAACATTTTGACAGTGCTAATTCTTTCAATCCATGAATAGGGAATATCTTCCCATTCCCTTGTGTCCCCTATTTATTTTAACAGTGTCTTACAGTTTTCACTGTACAGGTGGTTCACCTATCATGTACGATAGGTGAAAGAATCCAAATTGGAAAAGAAGTGACTACTTCTTGTAGAAGACATGATAATATACGTAGGAAACTGACTCCACTATAAAACAATAAATCAGTAAAGTGGCAGCTTACAAAATCAGTCTATAAAAAAATCAGTTGCATTCCTATATGCAAAAAAAACTAAAGGAGAAAGAAATCAAGAAAATGATTCCCTTTACTATCACATCAAAAAGTATCAAATACCTGTTTGCATATCCTTCAGATAATCACAAATTTCTGAGGCAAAGAGGGTAACAGACTTTGACTTTGGTTCCCTTCATAACACCTCAGAATCCTATCGAACTACCTTTAAGTCTTCCCTTTCCTAAACAAGTCACTTGTGAAGAGGGATGTTCAGGCAGGTGTAGGATAAAGCTTTGCCCTCTGTGCCATCCTGGTCACCAAAAGTCTACATCTCTAATTGTGGAGCTCATTTGTATGCCAACCATTGAACTCCTTTGATAGAAATATTCTCTTAGACCTAGACCTGCCCTGATTTTTTTTTTTCTTCTTACTCAGTCATTGGTTGAGGGTCGGAGTGTAGGTGGGAGGCAAAACTCAACATTGAGATGTGTGCACTGTCCTGATGGGTCAGTGTAGTAACGTGATCTAACCGTGGTCGTTCGTCAAACATTAGATTTATGTCCTTATGGGTCTGGCTACAAGTCTAGCGTGTAGTAGGATGTGTCTGTCATTTGTTTTCCAACTTACATTCACCATCTGTACAAGATTCCTTACCGGGACTCCCCTTTTATTTGTGTATTTATCAATTATGATTTTTTCTTTCATTCAATCTAAAATGGCACTGAACACATTGTCTCAGTCACAAAATTTCTTTTATAGAGCATGTATATAATTAATTCATGTGAATTACTTACACAATTGTTATTAACAATTGGCAGAATTCTAACCAAGGAAGAGAGTAAGTATAAGATTAAGAGGCAGATTTGTCTCATGTAGTTAGGTGACTGACCCCTGTGTGTTTTATGCTGTTAATGTGGGATGCTGCTATTCAGCTAAGTCTGTTTCCATTGTCTGTAGATCAGAGGTCAGCAAACTGCAGGCTATTTTTGTAAATGAGGTTCTACTAGGACATAGCCAAGAATCCGTTTACTTAAAGATTGTCTGTAGCTGTTCTGGCACTGCCGATGACACTTTGCAACAAGTATTGCTTTAGCCTGCGAAGCCTAAAATATTCATTATCTGCCCCTTTACAGAAAAGGTTTGCCAAGCTCTGGTTTAGATAACTAAGATTTGCTGTGTTTGGAACTGGTGCTTGCCAGAGTATGGTGTCTACTAGTGCATGAGTGATAGTCAGGAGACAAGGGAACAGTAATTTCCCTTCAAGTACACGAGGGGCGTGGTCCGAAATTACTCGCCAACCTTTAGAAAGTCATCAATACTAGCATCATGGAACGTAACCCGTAACCCAAAAGCCCTGACGCCCTCCCCTGAAAAGGATGAGATGAGATGGCAAATGCTGGGGAACAGCATGGTCTATAGAGCACTTCCTGCACCAGCCCAGAGGTCGCTGGGATGTGAAAGAATGGGTGAGATGCCTGCATAGCCACCTCCTGACAACAGAAAGAAATGATCAAATATCCTGGCTAGTGTGAAGAGGATGGTCATTTTGAGGATTTGGTTTTCCAAGGGACGGCTGTGATTACATATACTTCTCCTATACCCACGGCAGGTGCTCACGCAACAACTAACTTAAACCATCATCTTTCTCCTAGGGAGGCAAGTACCTGCAGGCAGTGATTCAGTATGGAAAGATAGTATCCTGGTTGGAGATGGAATATGGCCTATCAGAAAAGGAATCGAAAGCTTCTGAGTCATTTCTGCTCGCTGCCTTCCTGAACCTGGCCATGTGCTACCTGAAGCTTCGAGAATACACCAAAGCTGTCGAATGCTGTGATAAGGTAAAGTGTCTGCCTGTGAGATGAACTTGAGTATTTGCAATATTCTAGGTTTTTTCTCCTTCTCATACTTGGCCTTCTTTCGTTTCCTCTCAGCTAATGGTGAAAGGGTTGTTCGTGTTGCTTTATTTTACTTGTTCGGGGTTGTTTCTCAGTATGAATTGGGAAATTCAGTAAGATTTTGATTACAGTCAGACTTTCTGATGCCTAGACTATCAATAATAATACAATAGGAATTAAGGTTTTAATAAAATCAAACAATTTTCATCCATGACCTTTCTTAAAGCCATTTTATATCAGATTAGACATCTGATTCCTCAATTTAATAAGAGCAGATTTAACTTAGACCTTTCTGGGTGCAGACTACAGCTGCCCACGAGGGGATATAAAAGTCAATTTTTCTTATAATTATCTTTATTCACTGATTGACGATACACATAATTTAGAGGACCCACAGATTATCAGCCGCCCTCTCCCTTTTTTACATTGTGTTGTCGGTACTATTGCTGGGTGGTACTGACACTGGTGCTCAGTGATAGTGGGTTGTATGACCCTCATATTCATGCACAAGCCAAGGTAACTATCATGTAAAGTACCTGGTCTCAGAGTGAACAAGAGTATATTACACCTTGAGAGGGAAGCTAATAATTAGATATATCTTAAAGGGACCACATAAAAACAACTATTTTATAAATTGTTGAAAAGATTTGAGTTTTAAGATTGATTTATGTATATTAGTATGTTCCCTGCCATGTTATGCTAAACTTGTGAGACCATGTTATGCTAAACTGAGAAAGGGATGGCATTGTTAATTGCATTTATAAAACTTTGTGCCTTTTATTTATTTATTTATACAAGCATTGGGTATAGTCAGAAGTGCGGGAGGGTTGAGAGAATTCACCAGAGACAGAGCGGAGAGCAGAGCAGGCAGATTGATGAAGTACACTGCTGAGGGGAGCAGCGGGCAGCAGGAGAGGTCTGTGCGCCATGTGGGGCCCTCGCCTGGCAGCCGGGGATTGAACTGACGCTGCAGAGGATGTGGGCAGCTTCGCAGCCCAGCACTAAACCGCTGTGCCACAGGGAGGCCCAACTTTGTGCCTTTTTTAAAAATTTATTTTTATTCACTTATGCATATAAGAATTGGGGTGTAGGCCAGGGGTGTGCCAGGGGTGACAGGATTCACCAGAGACAGTGGGGAGCAAAACAAGCAGACTGACTGAAATACACTGCTGAGGGGCGCAGCGGGAGAGACAGGAGAGGTCTGCTGCGCCATGTGGGTCACCTCCATGTAGGTTACCTCCGTGGCTGGGGATCAAATTCATGCCACAGTGGCTGGTGATAGCTTGATAGAGTGAGACTTAACCCCTGTGCTACCAGGGAGACCCAACTTTGTGCTTTTTTAAGATAAAAGTAGCATGAAGTCATTCAAAATTCAAACATTGTCTATTCATAAAATCCCCTCTGACCCACTGTCCCAAGACCACAGATATACATTTCACAGCTTCCTTCCACCTTTTTTCTACATAGAGTAACATGTGTATTTATTTCTTAAATGAGAGTGTAGAGATTTGGATAAATTGTTGTATAAAACAGTGACATCTCTCTGCATCTTTTCAGTCCATCATCTAATGCACCTTCATTCTCTTTGAAATTCTCATGGAGCTATCACATACGTCTTAACTGATCCTCTCTGCTAGACTTTCAGGGTTTTGATGTTACAAATCATGTGACATCTCTCTTTACATAAATTTGCCGAAGTATAAATACTAAGTCAATACAATAGTCAAAGACAGGACTATTTTAATACATTAAAGTTTTAAATCTTTTTTTTTAAGATATTTTATTTATGCATATAAGAACTGAGGTGTAGGCCAAAGGTGCCTGAGGGGGTGAGAGGATTCACCAGATACAGAGTAGGGAACAGAACAGACAGACTGACTGAAATTACACTGCTGACGGGAGCAGCAAGTGAGACAGGAGAGGTCTGCTGCACCATGTGGGTAGCTCCCTGCCCAGGGATCGAACTCATGCTGCAGTAGCTACAGACAGCTTCACAGTGCTGACGCTTAATCCCTTGTGCCACCAAGGAGGCCCTAAAGTTTTAAATCTTAACACATTTTTATATTACCAGATTTTTTTCCTCTCATTTTATTGGCCACAAAGAATTATTTTCTTTTTTTTTTTTAAGATTTATTTATTTATTTATACAAGCACTGGGTACAGTCAGAAGCATGGGAGGGTGAGAGAATTCACCAGAGCCAGAGCGGGGAGCAGAGCAGGCAGACTGATGAAGTACACTGCTGAGGGGAGCAGCAGGCGGCAGGAGAGGTCTGTCACACCAGGTGGGACCCTCCCCTGGAGGCCGGGGATCGAACCGGCGCTGCAGAGGCTGCGGGCAGCTTCTCAACCCAGCGCTCAACCGCTGCGCCGCCGGGGAGGCCCTATTTTCATTTTTATTGTTTACCATTTGTGTTTATTCTGTGAATTGCCTGGTCACGTCCTCCAAGCAGATTAATGGTCTGTTGGCTGAGATGTGCATTCTCAGTGCTTCCACGTTGACAAGGGAGCCAGGTCTCACTTGTCTTTTAATTTTGTTCGCAGCATCTTTTTCTGTTAAAAAAAATTAATATTTACATAGCCAAATCTGTCTTTTCCTTTCTAATTAGAAAGATTCTTCCCACTCTAAGATTATAAAAATAACCCTGTTTGGCACCTACAAAATTTACTCCAACTAGGTTTGCTTTTAAAAAATAATAATAACTTTTTCATATTCTGGGGTGTGTTTTTTTTTTTTTTTTTTTTTTTTTGGCATGTAAATTTGTGTGGGCTGGAGTTTATTTTTGTGCTTGATATGAGTAAGAATTTAACTCTTATTTGCTACGTGGATAGCCGGTATCTCAACCCCATTTATTACAAAGTTAATTATTTCCCTCATCACCTTCATTATTGCTAAATCTTATAATATACATACACATGAATCTTGTTCTGTTTCACTGACCTATTTGTCCACAGAATAGTAAACAAACTTTTAACTGCAATGTTTTTTTTTCCCCTCTGATAAGGCTAGTCCCCTCACGTTATTTTTAATTTTCTTAGCCATTCTTGGGCATTTACTTCTTCTACTTAACTTTAAAATGAACTTCTCAAGAATCCCCTCCCAAATCCCCTTGGGATCTTTTCAGAAAATTATTAATAGTGAAATTAATTTGTGTTTTGATCAGTAGCCTGTAATTACCTTAAGCCCCGTATCTATTCAGTATACCTTTTCCTAATCCCTAGGCTAGAGAACTTCAGTAAGTTAATTAAATGACTGAATTTCTTTAAAATTCCCACAGGTTGTGTTTGTCTTTTTAAAATATAGACCCTCTATTTGCAGGCCCTTGGACTGGACAGCGCCAACGAGAAGGGCCTGTACCGGAGGGGAGAAGCCCAGCTGCTCATGAATGAGTTTGAGTCAGCCAAGGGCGACTTTGAGAAGGTGTTGGAAGTAAATCCACAGAACAAGGCGGCGAGACTGCAGATCTCCATGTGCCAGAAAAAGGCCAAGGAACACAATGAGCGGGACCGCAGGATATACGCCAACATGTTCAAGAAGTTTGCAGAGCAGGATGCAAAGGTACGAGCATCAGATCAAGAACTCTCCTGTCCTCTTTGATTTTTGATCAAAGATGGTTAAGCCTGGGATGTTGGGCGGGCAGACAATGTGAGAAACCCGAGGAAAGGGGAAATGACTTCCTATCTGGCCTGAGGCTGGTTTGGTTCTAGAGGTAGCACCGGGCTGCTCCATGCATGCAGACACATCCTCAGGAGGCCCCAGCACGTCCATGCAAGAGTTGTAAGGAAGGTAATTCCCTGTGAGTGTACAGAAGCTTTTATCATTTTTTTTTTTTTTGAAAATTACAAACACACCAGGTGTTTTTCAGATAATACGTCCCTGCTGAGACTTTGATTTCCCCAGAAAATGGACTATAAGGAGGCAGCTCCACCATCACGCCCTTTACTTAGAGATTCAGGAACCAGCCTCACAATGTGCAGGAGAGAGCTGTCTGGAAGGAAGTCTGCCTCCTCTGGTCCCGAGCGCTTTCTTCACGCCAACCCTCTTGTCACATGGACTTGATGATTAAACAGCCTTCCCCTGTAGCCAGCTCATCATTTTAACCAAAGTGCTAGCTCCCGCTCCAGCTATTGGCAGCACAGTTCTGACTCACCCAGCCCTTGCAGCGCACTCTCGCTTTAGACCTGAGCCGTCTCGAGGCGCCAGGAACTAATCGAACACGTCACTTCTTTTTTCGCTAATCCGCTTGATCTCTCATTTCTTCCTCAGGAAGAGGCCAGTAAAGCAATGGGCAAGAAGGCTGTAGAAGGGATCGCCAATGAAAAAGAAACAGGAAGTCAAGCAATGGAAGAAGAGAAAGCTGGAGGCCGAGTATGACACCACGCCAAGGAGGGAAGAGTCCTAACTCGGCCCCTCCTCCTTGGGCTTTCACCCAACTCAGGACTAAATGGTGTTTAATGTCAAGTTTGTTATAGTCTATGTGATTCTGGAAGCAAATGGTAAAATGAGTAGCTTCCAAAAAAAAAAAAAACCCCACCACCCTGCTGCTGCCCAGTGCCCTCCGGAGAGGGTGGCATGGGGCCACTCCAGAGAGAGAGAACCCACATGGCTGTGACGTGGGAGATTGAACCAACAGCGTAGGTCCTGCTCATTCAAGTTCCTGTCAACTCTCGATAACTAATTCAGGGTCCCTTGAGATATCCTAACAATTTGAGGCCATTGTGCGGGTTTTACATTTGATTGAACCCTGATTGCATAGCACGATAGAAACCTAACAATAAATGCTTAATGAGTTTCTCCTTCCTTACGCTTGGCCTGAGGAAAGGGGATGTTGTGTTTTTTTAAATGCCTGGAGTGCTATGAATGCAACCTATTGCATTTTTAACCAACAGAACCCACAGTAGAGAGGTGTGGTATCCCATCAGGCCACAGCAGCGTCACAGACTTGAAAGCCAGAACCTCAGAGGCCACTTACTTGCTGACTTAGCCGCCTCCTTGTTGAGTGCGTTTTGCTCACACCCAGCCTGTCCCTGGGGGAGGAATTCTGTCATTCCTGAAACACTCCAGCGGTGAGCATGAGCAGCAGGGGGTCCTGGATTAACTTGCCCTGTTCTGGATGAAGTTCTGAGATGCTGGAATGATGTGAAAAAAGCAGTCAGAATTATGCTTTTTTCCTCTCCTCTCATGAGTTGAGCACAGTCCTGCCTGCTGGCACTGCTACTCGTCAGTATCATGTCCCACTCTAACCCTTGCTAATAAGAACTTAGCCCTGTTAGGCTATCTCTAACCTGGAGTGGGTTTATTTACACATCCATTTAGAATCAATGCAGCTTTTGAAAAAATTTGGTCATCTTTTTAAAAGTACTGGCCCATGGCATATAAAGTGGTTTATGGAACTTTATTTACACTCCTATCATGCAAAACAAAAGCAGAATTTTTAACTACTAGGTAGCTTAATTTTAAAAAACAAAATCTTTGAGGTTGAAAAAAATAAGTAGTTCATATTTACCTTAAGGGTTTCACTGGCAGGTTTGACACACCGTAGTTTTCTTTCCCTGCACTCATAGCTTCTTCGTTCTGGTGTGAGTTATGAAAAAAGAATTGAAACATCTTCCCATGCAGGTACAGCTCACCTAAGATCTCCAGTACTTGGGCATTGAATTCGGGAAAGTCTTAAATACGTAGATTTAGTTGAAGTCTAGTTTCTTACGGGTAAACGAGATTAAGCCTGACTCTCTAGTTCCACCGCCTAAGAAATACTCATGGGGCTGCCTTTGGCAGCCCAAGGAAACATTTGCTTCATCCTGAAACATCTCACTTTTTTAAATCCTAAAGAACACTGGCAATTATATTTTAGATTAGTCTTTATTTTTATGGTGGTTTTAACATAACACTTTCATTGTTAGGTTAGGACCTGCATTAAAACCTGAAAATATAGTCATTTCCTTTTATAGCAGTTTTCTCTTCCATGAAACAAGTGGAATTAAGTTGTATGCTTCTCCTTTTATGATAACTAAACTCCTTTTAATTTCCTTACTTACACTTTTGTCTTTGTTCATGAGATTTCTAAAGGCCCCAATCTTGCCTCAGAGATATGAAAAGCAAAAGCTGATTTTGCGTCTTTGTTTAAGTGTTTAGTATTTGTGGCTCAGTTGACTGGCACGTGATTCCATTGAGACCAAGACTGAGATTTGATCCTAAAAAGGCTACTTAGCTTTTTGTAGGTAACAAACAAAACTATTCCAAAAATTAGATTATCCCCAAAACTGTGTCCCATATGTGTGTTATGGGTCACGGTGGGGGGGGACAGGCAAGAATGTGTGGAGGGGGAGGATGTGTGAGTGGCTCTGAGCAAAGGATCGTGAGGTCCCCATCACCACTCAAAGAAAAAACTTCATGTGCTCATACATCAAATTCAGTACTCCTCAACAATTTGTCTAGAAATCAGATGTCTTGTGAACCATCTTAGAGACTGCACGAGTGGTGAGGCAGCATATGATGAATTAAAAACAAAGTCTTATTTTTTAATTCCAGATGCACTTTTCTTGTGTTCCTTAAATAAATTTAAAAAAAAACAAAAACATGATTTTCCATTGTTCTTGGCTTTGCTTAATAGTCTTCAGGGCTATTTAAGGTTATTTTCATTGGAAGACTATGGTGGAGATCAAGTTGAAGAAATGAGACACCAGAAAATTGGCAAGAGACACTTTTATCCACTCATGACTCATGTACCCTGAGAAATCAGCATTGGGCTGAAGGTAGTGGACAAGCCACCTTTGTTCAAGTGAACCACATAATCCGAAAAACAAGAGGATTTTGTTTTTCATTAACCAATGAACTGTCCACCATTTTAATTGATTGTGAGGGGGGTCTAATTTGGGAAGTGAAGAGATTTAATTGTGCCCTTTAATAAACATGCAAAATAGAAGTAAGCATCTCAGGTGATGTTTGTCTTAAGTATACATTTCCTCTTTCTCATGTAACATATCTCACCCGATATTCATGGTTTCAGATTCTGAAGGTGTAAAGAGTTGACGTCACTACACCTTGAATCCTGATTCACGCTGGAAGAGAAAGGGGTGAGGGGCGGGCGGTGGTGTACAAACAGGTCAATGCAGGCCCCAGCCACCTTTATTCCCTCTGAATTCCTTCCTCTCTGGTTCTCATTTATACTTTGTCCTTTGCTGTTAAATTATTTGGGAGTGAAATCAAATAATGCCCTTTTTTTGCATGTTTTCCTAAGCAAATAATGATTACACTAGGGATCTTGAGGATGAGCCAGAGAAAGTTTCCTGGCTGTAAGTGAGCTGAGTAATTCGAGGCAGTAATTCGAAGCATCCCGCACATGCTTCACAGCACAGGAAGTATCGGGAAGCCCTTTATTCAAACTTAATAACCTTATTTTTTTTTTAAGTTTATTTATGCAAGCACTGGGTACAGTCAGAAGCGCGGGAGAGAGAGAGAATTCACCAGAGCCAGAGTGGGGAACAGAACAGGCAGACTGACGAAGTACACTGCTGAGGGGAGCAGCAGGTGGCAGGAGAGGTCTGTGCGCCGGTGGCCGGGGAGCAGCCGGGGATCGAACCGGCGCTGCAGAGGCTGCGGGCAGCTTCGCAACCCAGCGCTCAACCGCTGTACCACCAGGGAGGCCCAACTTAATAACCTTTTTAGCAGGATTTTGAACTCCCCTTAGTTGGTATTCTCTGAGACTAGCCACCCTAGAGACTGTCACCAACATGGGTGACGAAATAGGTTAAGTTTGAGCTAGTCAATCTGAAAACTCAGATACTCTACCCAGCTGTATATATTTTTCATTAACTGGGTACTACAGAATTGAATAGTGGTGAATGACAAGTTTTCCATATAAGAATACTTCCTCATGGCTTGAAAGTTTCTGGGTACCCTCAGTGCTTCCCTTCCTGTTTTTCTCGCTGACATATCTGACAAATCTCTTTGGGTGGCAGGGGAAGGGCAAACACAAACCACAGTAATTTTAGCATTCTATTTGCCTAATTATGTCTTGATATATAATGGCATATAATCTGCATGCATGTCCTTTATGATATATATATGTCATAAAGGAATATCGCTGAATGTTAACTCCCAAGGCAACCTTTGAGAGTATCCTGCTGCAGCTAACTGCTACCTATCAATGGCACAGCTCAAGTGCAGTTTATAGATGACCAAGGTCCAGAGGGGTTCCCTGGATCCTTGAAGAATCAACAATGGGTAGTGGGCCTCTCTGGTGGTACAAAGCGTTAATAAGCACAGCGCAGTGAAGCTGTCTGAAGCCTCTGCAGCACGAGTTCGGTGCTCAGCCAGCCAGGGAGCTACTCACATGGCGCAGTAGACCTCTCCTGTCTCACCTACTGCTTCTGTCAGCAGTGTATTTCACAATCTGCCTGTTCTGTTCCCCACTCTGTCTCTGATGAACCCTCTTACCCCCTGCACCTCTGGCCCATACCCCAGTTCTTTTATGAATAAATAAATCTTAAAAAAAAAAAAAATGAGTAGGACCCAGAATGGCTCGTGGTCATCTGGTCACCTAATGCCCTTACACACTGAGTGTAAGTAACTGGCATGTAGTAAATGCTTAAGAGTTATAACCAGGGCCTTCCCAGTGGTGCAGCGGTTGAGCGCTGGGTTGCGAAGCTGCCCGCAGCCTCTGCGGCGCCGGTTCAATCCCCGGCTGCCGGGTGAGGGTCCTGCATGGCGCGCAGACCTCTCCTGCAGCCCGCTGCTCCCCTCAGCAGTGTACTTCGGTCCTTCTGCCTGCTCTGCTCCCCGCTCTGGCTCTGGTGGATTCTCTCGCTCTCCCGCGCTTCTGACTGTACCCAGTGCATGTATAAATAAATAAATAAATAAATAAATAAATAAATAAATAAATAAAACTTAAAAAAAAAAGTTATAACCAGTGGCTGCAGGGTAGTGCTTCTGCGTGCTGATCTTAGCAGCTGGTGTCTACCCTGTCCTGTCAGTGCCTAGCAAGTCACTGAAGATTTTGCTGCTCGCCCTTGAGTATGTTAAAAAAGTGAGGTCAGGGCCTCCCTGGTGGTGCAGGGGTCATATGAAATGAGGTGTTAGCAGTTCCTTAAAATCCCCAAGCATTTGGTAGAAATGAAATAGCAGCAGAGCCCTGTGCCTCATATTCTACTGTGGAGCAAAGACAGTTCATCAGTCTGTAAAGGATAGGCACCTCTTCCTTAAAGCTACGCTGAGTTGAGTTTAAGGAATTTCAATGTTTGAATTAAGGTTTTTTAGGTCCTTTTCTTTCCATGTTAGATTCTCACCACTCACTACTTTGAAATCTAATGAGAGGCAAAAAAAAAAAAATTGCAAGATTTTCCTTTGTACTCTGCTCATTTTGAGAAGACACTTAAAGCCAGGCTTAGAATGACCTCATTTTTAAAAAAGATTGATTTATTTATGCATACAAGAACTGGGGGGTAAGCCAGAGCTGTGGTTGGTGAGAGGATTCATGAGAGAGAGTGGGGAGCAGAACAGGCAGACTGACTGAAATACACTGCTGAGGGGAGCAGTGGGCAAGACAGGAGAGGTCTGCTGAGCCATGTGGGTCAGCTCCCTGGCCAGCGCGGGGATCGAATTCATGCTGCAGTGGCTGGCAGTAGCTTGATAGCGCTGTCTTTAACCCCTGCACCACCAGGGAGGCCCTGACCTCACTTTTTTAACATACTCAAGGGCGAGCAGCAAAATCTTCAGTGACTTGCTAGGCACTGACAGGACAGGGTAGACACCAGCTGCTAAGATCAGCACGTAGCAAGCACTACCCTGCAGCCGCTGGTTATAACTATTAAGCATTTACTACATGCCAGTCACTTAAACTCTCTTCACTGACCTTCCAAATAGAAAAAGAATGTGGCTACTGCTTCGTTTCCACCATCTGAATCAAAAGATTGTGTGGTCCTTATCGAGAACTATGCAGGCAAGGAATTCTGGGATATATATTTCAAACTTGGTTTAATTGACCTTTACAAATACACCAAGTGTCTAAGGCTTTCTACAGATAGTAACCATTTCTGGACTGGGTCTGCTTTGGATAATGTATTTTCATTAGATAACTCCTTGCCGTTGGCATTTGACTTGGCCTAGTTTCCCCCATAGAATGGTGGACAAGGGTAGTGAAGAGAGAGCACAGTGGACTAACGCAGAGGACTCTGGGTGCTTTGGTGGGAGGAGAGCTATGATGGCTACACCTACGGGGGGCAATCCTATACTAAAGGATGTAAAACAATGGTATTTTATTGAAACAAAAAAGTTCCCCAGGCCTCCCTGGTGGTGCAAGGGGTTAAGACGCAACCTATGAAGCTATCCACAGCCACTGCAGCACAAGTTCAATCCCCAGGCAGGGAGCTACCCACACAGTGCAGCAGACCTCTCCTGCCTCATCCACTGCTCCCCTCAGCAGTGTATTTCAGTCAGTCTGCCTGTTCTGTTCCCTACTCTGTCTCTAGTGAATCTTCTCACCACCACCACCCCCTACACACACCTCTGGCCTGTACCCCAGTTCTTGTATGCATAAATAAATAAATCTTTAAAAATAATAATAAAAATTTTTAAAAATTTCCCCTCCTAAAAGTTGCTAAGGAGATAAGCCAGAAAGAACAAGTAGCTAATGACTTGTGTTTTGGGATACAATAAGTCTAGTTATTCTATTAAGTGATTTTTTTTTTTTAAGATTTATTTATTTATTTATACAAGCACTGGGTACAGTCCGAAGCGCGAGAGGGTGAGAGAATTCACCAGAGCCAGAGCCGGGAACAGAACAGGCAGACTGATGAAGTACACTGCTGAGGGGAGCAGCGGGCGCCAGGAGATGTCTGCACGCCATGTGGGACCCTCATCGGCGGCCGGGGATCAAACTGGCACTGCAGAGGCTACAGGCAGCTTCGCAGAACAGCGCTCAACCGCTGCACCGCCAGGGGAGGCCCTCTATTAAGTGATTTGAAGTCTGCTCACAGTCAGGTTTTCACACTGAGGACTCAAACTTTCGAGTCTAAAAACATAAAGCCACACGCATGTTCCCATCCTCTGTAGATCCCCAAGTCTTCCTAAAGATGACACCAGCCTGCACCTACAGTGAGCAAATTCACAAGACACCCACTGAGGGGTCCAGGAGCCCATCACCACCGACAGCACTGAGTGCTCCATCACCAGCATAGTACAAAGTAGACACTCAACAAACTGATTTTCTGTCCTTTCTTACAAGGCAGCTTCTTATCTCTATCTCAGTGGCCCTTCATTCCTGTTATTTTTCTTGACATGGGGAGGCCAGAGTTACATGGATTTCTAGCAGTCCCTGCAACCTGCTTTTGTATCTTGATCCTTGAGCTCGTGAGCCAGTCACAACTTGACTTGGAGGGCCATAACTGCAAAATGTTTCTATGGGTCAGACCACAGTGATCCTAAATCTATTTCCACTTACAACTGATAGCTCAAAGCTCACCATTTCATCAGCCTAAACAAATTGAATGTGAAGCAGAGAAGGATTCCGGGAAGATAGTAAATAGGAAGTTCAAGAATGTCTCCCCACCCAGACAACAACTGCCTTGCAGAATCTGTCTGATGTAATTCTTTGCAATCTCTGGAGTCTGTTGAAGCTTGTAATTTCCAGGGGAAGGCTTGGAAGGTCAATTTCATCTCTTAGTCTAATAGCAGCCATCCATCCCTCACAACCAGCCACACTGCAGGCAGCTTGCACACAACTTGTGAGAGCTCGGGAGGGCAAGGATTCTGTCTGCCAAATATTAGGGACCAGTGCTCTGATTGCTGATTGCTGCTCCTGATAACAGGTGCAGAGACAGGCAGCCACTGTTACTTATACCCTCCCCCCCATTATTGCAAGCCCCTCACTCTCCAGCTCAAGAGACTTCCAGAAGTGTCCGGAGCCGTCCGGAGTATGTGCCGTGTTGCATATGCGTGCCATGAGTTCGCTTTACCGTTTCGCCT